GTATTCTGCTTTCAGACTTTTTTAAGGGCTGGGAAAAACATTTATGAAATCCTCCAGGGGTGGTGGTAATGGTTTAGAACTCACAAAGAAAGCACTATCAGGGAAACAAGTGGATCCACCTGTCCTCATGCTGCCCGGAGGTGAGAACTTTCCTTATGGAGAAGCCACGGCAGCTTCAGAGAATTCTTCCTTCTGAGAATTTCTGGGTGAGCCAGAGGTGAGACTTGAATTTAGGCTTCTTTGCTGAAAATGAAGCTCACTTGTCAGAGGACTGTTTAAGATTAGGGTTTACAGACCCGGCAGGAGGAGGAGATAGGTGGGATAAAGGTCCTCCTCTGTTCTTGTTTCCATCTCTTCTCCAGGCCATTTATTTATTAGGTGTATTGGTTAATAATGGTGGATTTTGTAATCAAAGAAAACATGATAATTTCAAGAGAAACAGCAAAAGTGCTTTATTCAAAGTAATGTCCATCGCTGGTTACACATTTCCCCATCTTTCAGGTAATTTGTGGGTACCGTTCCAACAGAACTTTCCTTGTTTTGAGTCAAATTATTCAGAGATCCAATTTTCCACTTCTTTGTATGTTTTGAAATGCTGGTTAGAAAGTGTGTGTGCCATTGAACGGAACAAGTGATAATCTGATAATCTGAAGGGGCAAGGTCTGGTGAATACAGCGGGTGGGTTAATACTTCCCAGGCAAAATCTTTTAAAGTCTTTTGTCTTTAACTGGTTTTGAAGTGTGTGATGGTGCGTCAACATAAAGCGAAATTACTTTCCTATGTCTTCTGGAATATTCTGGTGGTTTCACGATCAAAGCGTGGTTCAAATTGATTTGTTGTTGGTAGCAATCAGTATTAACGGTTTCACTGGTTTTAGAAGTTCATAATACACCACACCTTCTTGATCCCACCAATGCAGTTGATGTTGATGGTTGACCTGGGTCAACCCATGATTTTGTGCATTTGAGATTCTCAAAGCAAGTCCTCTTTTCATTGCCAGTCACAATTTAATCAAAAAAGACTTTCGTGCTGTTGAAGCAACATTTTACTGATGACTTTTCGGTTTTCCTTTTGTCTTTTGTTCAGTTGATGTGGCACCCACTTTCCTTCCTTTAAAATCTTTCCCTTTGCTTAAATAATCAGAAATTATTTGCTGAGCAACGTTTAATCTTTCTCCAAGTTGTTTTTGAGTTTAACATGTATCTTCATCCAATAATTGTAATTGTTGGTCTTCAAACTTTTTCGATTGGCCTGAACATTCTTTGAAATAATCACTTTTAAAGCTTTTAAACCAGCACTCACAGGTATCTTGAGAATGGAGTATGTTCAACCATAAGCTGCCTGAAGTATTCAGTAGGACTTTTCTTCAAAATAATGAATTAAAACTTCCCACAAATGCTCTTTTTTTTGGCATGAAAATTGACATTTTTAAGTGTAAAAATATCTATGATCTTAACACCTCTAGAAACTTTGACAGATGAAGTTTTGAAGCTTGTCAATGTAACAAAATGGCATACATATCAAAACACATATATATCAACATATGTGTAACTCCATCTATTGAAAAAAAAATCCACATTATTAACTGGTACAGCTAGTAGAACTAATGGCCTGGTGCACAGATTCATGCACATTGAAAGGAAATTAATTAGAAGAACGATTCATGTGGTAATTACATTACTGGAAAAATTTACATGTAAAAATAGTATATATAATTAATATAGTATTATAAAATTAAAACACAACGTGCAATTGGTGCCAGCAAGAGCTTTATATGTATTGTGCTTGTGTGAGTCATTGTTTATTTTTAAATTGCCAGTGCATGTCATATGTACCAGCCTGTTGGATGGATGGACAGTCAGTCACTTAGCCATATATATATATATATATATATATATATATATATATATATATATATATTTTCCCAGGAAAGATGGTGTGGCTTTTGATGTTACTTCCTCCTGTTTTTGTCTTACCTACTCTAACTCAATTTATATGACCTATACTTTAATCTGTACTTCTTTTTTTAATAACTAATATTATTAAAGGTTTACAAGTTCATTTCATTCAGATCAGGTTTTAAGTGTCTCCTCACAGTTAAAATAAGTTCTACCTTAAAGCCACCCCCATGTAATAGCACATATTATTATTAATTAAAGTATTATTTTTTTCTTACACCAAAATAAATTCCATCAAGGTCAAGTACTTAAGTATAGAAAGTACAACCATAGCAGCACTAGAAGAAAATTAGAAAATGGCTTCTATAATTTTGAATGTTATAATTCTGATCCAAAAGCCAGAACATAAAAACAGTATTCTTTAGCTTGACCACATAAAAACTTAGTTATGCACAGCAAACAGCTATAGCGTTTGCAAATAAGGTTGAAAGACAAATGGCAAGCTGAGAAAACGAAGAAAAAAAGTCAATATTTGTCATATGGGAAGAACTACTACAAAAGGACAGCGATGAATAAATACCAAAGGAAAAACAGAAAGGAAAAAAAAAAATTCAATGGGTCAATAGATAAGTGAAAATATGTTTAATTTCAGGAAGAATTCGAGTGATGCAAATAAAAGTGAGGTCACTTTTTACTCTATTAGATGAATAAATATTTTTAAAAAGGTTAACAAAACCCAGTATCGACATTGTGGGAGAGCATATGCCCTTATAGACTGGCGATAATATTAATTGGTAAGCTTTTCTATTGGGCAGTTTATCAGCATGCATTCCAATTTAAAATATGCATACACTTTGACTTAACAGGTTCATTTCTAGGGGTTTCTTTTAGAGATACAGGGTTATCTGACACAATTTATAAATGTGGCAAATTAGATGAAATATAAATATCCATTATATTGGGTACTTAAACACAGTATTTATTGAGTGGGAGAGTGCCCATGAGACAAATTTTTGTAGAAATAACAAATTAGAGAAAAGCAGTGTATATAGTGGGGGCCCTTGGTATAAAAGTCTCCACTCTGGGCTTGTGAGTGCCTCGAATGATGCTTCCCAGAATCACCACAGTGTTACTTCAAGGTTATTCCTGAATGAGAGACCTAGCATCATTTTATTTTTCTACATACACATCTGTGTGTACTTCAAGTGAGCATTAAGCATTTTTTTTTTTTTTTTTTTTTTTTAAGATTGGGAAACCTTAAGTGTGAATTTTGGAGAAGGGGAAAGTATGAAATGCTGTTTGGATATATTGTAGCTAGGGAATAGGGGGCAAGGACTAAGAGTCCACCAAGGGCATTCAGCCTCCATTACACACACACACACCACCCACCCCCACACTCCCTAACCCTGTGGTACTGTGCTTTCCAGGAGAGCTATGACCTTGAGTTAGCTTAATCGGGTGAATTGGGTGTGGCTGCCCTGTCCTATTTTTACACCTGGTGCAGCTGCACTCTTTTCCCATATATTATATCTGTTTGTCCTGCTGGTTAAAGCAAGGTCTATACCAGCCATTTCCTCTTCTGTTACCACCTTTCTCTCAAGGCCCCGGCTGGAACCCTATCTCATTGGTAGTCAGGGAGAATGGAGTTGGGTTGACCCCAATCCATTCCCATCCAACTGAAGGCCTTGTTACTCAGTATTAACTAGAATCATCTTAGAGGACAAAAGGCAGCTCTTGTTTGATATAGTTCATTATACAGTTTCTGCTTTATCTTTATCTTACTCCATTCTCTGTTTCTCAAGGGCATGACTATGTGCTTCATAATTTTTGTCTGCTCATGATCCTTTTCATTACCTAATTCACTATTGGGCGGCATTAGTAAGTAAGCATTGATGAAAAGTGATGGAATAAATAAGGTCAAATCTGGGACTTATTTTAGATGACTTTTTTTTTTTTTTTTTTTTTCCTTTTAAAGGCAGAACTGGATCTTTAAAGTTAGAGGAAAGGAGGGCAGGGTTGCTTTGCGTTTTGCTGGAGGGTGTTGGCGGTGAGGCAGGCAGGTGGATCCTTCCCTATGCTGGAAGCCGAAGCACCCTTTATTCCCTCCCTTGTCAGTCTGTCCCTTGTAGCAGAAGGATCCTGTGGATTTGGAGCTGGGCAGAGACTCTTCCTACTTTCTTTACAAGCCTGGGCCACAGACACTCATGACATGCTTCGTTATGAACTGTGGTCCCTGTACTGAGGTCTTCACATTTGGTGCTGAATTGTGTTGAAACTTTATAGATATTGATGTGACTATCCTTCTGGACTTGAGTTCTGTTTTAATATTCTTGGCTTGTTTGCAATTTTGAGACTTAATGAAGGCTACTAACGTTCAAATACTATTCCAGTTGTACAAGAGTTGGGATGAGCCAAAACCGGTTTGGCTCAGTGGTAGAGCGTCGGTCTGCAGACTGAAAGGTCCCAGGTTCGATTCCGGTCAAGGGCATGTACCTTGGTTGCGGGCATATCCCCAGTGGGGGGTGTGCAAGAGGCAGCTGGTCAATGTTTCTCTCTCATCGACGTTTCTAGCTCTCTATCTCTCTCTCCCTTCCTCTCTGTAAAAAATCAATAAAAAATATATTAAAAAAAAAAAAGAGTTGGGATGAGTGGGAAGGGGCTGCTCTCACTCTAGACTTGTATTGAAAGCTAGATTGCTTTGATGGTGCTTCTCCTCGCCTATTTCTGACGCTAGTTTGAATGAATTTGCTGTAACTACATAAATGTGCCCAGTACACCATAATTGAATAAGTATTCGAAGAGTTTGCAATCACCAGGTTAAATGATTATATAGCCTTAAACCACGTACTTTTTCCAATTCAATTTAAGTGCTCATTATCTCTTATTTAAGTGACCAATAAAGCATGCAGTTATGTCTTACTTTGCAAGTGGGATTAATATCTACTGTTTATCTCAAGATAAATATTGGTAAAGTAGCTGGGAAAAGAAATTTTATGCCCTCAAGAGTGAGGTAGTGCAGGGCTAAAGTGTTGGGTGTGAAGTTTTATCTTTCTGAACTGATTATGAAGTATACTAAACATTTATGTGGTTTTGTCTTTATAGACTGAAATCGCCAAGAGATTGAATACGATTTGTGCACAAGTCATCCCATTTCTGTCTCAGGAAGTAAGTAAAACTGTTCAGCTGTTAAAGTGCAATTATGTTGCTTCTCTGTTTGCAAATTAGCTAGTTTTAAGATGTTAATTTTATCACGAGGAACAAGTGTGAAGAACATCTGTTACAGCTGTGGTATGTGTACCCCTGCTATTCCATCTAACAGATCCGAGAGCACACTACAACTAATGGCAGTAGCTCAACCTCAAATTAAATTTTTTCCTTTGGAAGACTGCAAAATGACTATCAAACATAAAGCTTTTCTAATTTTAAATTAAGTTAATTTATAAGCTTAAATGCTACTGATTCTAAGTGTCCTTTTTCTAGAGAGCTTTTCTTATTCTAAATTTTAAAAATGGGTCCATCAGACTTGACTATGGGAGCAGGTATTTCATTTGTACTTGCTTAATGGTTGACTTAATGCTGTCCATGGAGGGAGAGGGTGCCAGTACTTTTAAGGATGAAATAAGTGTTCATGTTACCTTAACTTACGGAGTTGTGCGTGTGTGCGGGTGTGTGTGTGTGTGTGTGTGTGTGTGTATGCCATTTTTATTAAGATTCAAAGCCACAGAGGTTTAACTGTAATATTTTGAGAGGGAAAAACTCTGTATATGACTAATCTATGAGATTGACTCAAAACCAGTATGTTTTAGTTTGACCTTAAGTTCACCTTACTTTTGGATACAAATTTACAAATGCTAAACAAGGACTCATATATCTTGAGACAAAGCTTGTTGGGCTGGGAGCTGAAATACAGGCTGTTCGTTTAGTTGTCATCAGCTGCGTCATACCACAGCCATCTCTGCTCTTCCAGCAGCCTCTTCCAGCGTAACGTGTACTCCCTGCTCAGTAATCCTGGTCTCTGTGTGGTCTGTCCCATGTCTCTCAAAGCACAGGTGTGGCTTTGCTTTTACTTGTGGGCAGAAGTCGGGCGGTCGGTAGAGTGTTTCCGGACCGTGAACTAAGAGTGGAGTCTTTCCTTTCCCTTGTGTAAGGTGAACTGTCTAAAGGAGAGGACTTACCAGAGTTTCCAAAAACTACTTGAGGGTTGAGATGTGTTGACCAGAGAACTAATAGAAGATTTGATGTTAAATGATCCCATACGATTTATTTTCTGAAGCCCCAGGTTAACCATTTTTGGTGTCCTTTTTGACTTTGTACCATTCAGAGCCTTAGCTTTCCACCGGGAGTTAAGTGGTGACTGGAGTGAGTTAGAAACAAGGAAAGCACTGCTCTGTTTTCTTTCCCCCTTTTTACATGTGTTCTGTGAAATAACGGGTGCTCAACAAACTTCTCATATACTAGCAAATCCAAACTTTGCATTGTACTTCAGTCTGCATCCCATGTGGCATTTGCCTTTTTGTTGTTATCGTTGGAAGGTACGTGAAGTTCTTGGCTGCCTTGCTTACCCTTTCTTCTCGTTGTTTTCAAAGCATCAACAACAGGTGGCGCAGGCTGTCGAACGTGCCAAACAGGTGACCATGGCAGAGTTGAATGCCATCATCGGGGTACGTGGCCTACCAGGTCTACCTCCTACAGTGTGTATAACCAGCTTTCATTCTTATTAATTTGATGGCTTAATATCTTTATACATAAAACATTTGTCTAGCTAAACATTGACCTATTTGGTAAGGGTGGGAGGGGGGATTCAGGTATGCTAGGCTCTGCTGGGGAAAAGAGATTAGCATAAGGGAGATGATAGGAGAAACCGTTTTAGGAGGAGAAGAAAAATCAGTCTACCTTTTAATGGAAAATAAATATCCTTGAGCCTGTGACCCTTAAGCTACTTTTGCTCCAGTAGCCAGGTAAAAAAAAACCCTTTAGGTTAGAGTTTTAAACTATTCCTTTCTCTGTTCTATAACTTTAGATCACAGTGAAGTCAAGACATATCTCATAATGACCATTTCATTTAGTTTCTTTGCTTTTGCCTTTTGTTTTCCTAGGGTATTGGGACATTTCTTACTGCTTGGTCTTCCTCTTTCTTGTACCTCTTCCATGAAGTTTTAAGTGGCACCCCAATGAAAAGAACTGTTTCTTGCTGTTGAAGAAGTGATAATTGTCTGCCCTTCTGCCCTCTAGCCTTTCACCAGGTTTCTACTTTCCTGTTTTGAGTTCAGTTAGTGCTCACTGGCAACTGGTTGTCAATCACAAGTTATTTGCTCTGCATTAACGAGCCTGGTGGATCCTGCGGTCCATCCCCTGGTCCATCCCCTGCGTGAGTTTATCTGCCCCCAACCCCCTTCAGGTCCAGGATGGCTCTCAGATTTTCTGCCCTTCTAGACCAAGTGAAAGAAGTAGCTGAAACAAGGGACCATCCTTTCTGGTTTTATTCATAAGTGAGTGCCTTGAGCAGATTCAAATCACTCATTTATCAATTTATGTTAATTGCTTGTGAGAAGATGCCCTGCTGGTCTTTATAGTTCCCTGAGACACTTTGTAATGATAATTAGACATGCTGCTGTACGGATTAAGAGTGCCATAGTCCACTGACGGCCACGGACAATGGAACCAGTTAATCCATCAGGGTTTAAAATTACATCCCAACTGGAGATGGGAAAAAAACATAAGAGCCAAGGAGGATTAAAGAATGAGCCTCAGCTTGAAAACTCTCCTTTCATCAGTTTCTCAATTGCAGATCTGCAGTCGGGTTGCCTGTGGTAAGCTATTGGCAGTCAATTAGGTGAAATAAACTGGGAGGGTGACCTTCATTTCCTTTTAATAGCTTTTTCCTCCCTGAAATGGGGAGCTTCAGTGGATTTTCAGCTTAAATTTTATTCAAGCTGCTTTATTACACTTGACAGCTTAGCTCTGCATAAACAATTCTTCCCTTCTCCTCCCCCCAAGTCCAGGCTCTGCATTTCTCCCCCTTTAGTATCACATTTTTGACTGTTACTTAGTGGGCTCTCTAATCACATTCAACAAAAAACACAATTACATCTGCATTTGTCTGCTGCCTTCTGTACCCTTTTCTTGTGTAATGAATTGCTTTATTTCAGAGATCAAATCAAATATTCACCGGTACTTTTGCATGTACCGTGTTTGATTAGCAAAGACTAATAGCAAATTGTACTTGTAGCTTAAGCACAGAATTTTTTAACCCTAATGAATGAGGATGGAAAAGCCTGTTTTGATTAAAAGAAAACATATGCAAAGCAGGTCTCAAGTACCCAGTTAAACTTTGTGGAACACATTTGTTTTCTGATAGGCTCTAAATTTTTACATATCATTTCTTGATGGTAAAACTTGTATTTTTGAATTCTCAAAGGCACTGCCCAGTACAACACCCGGAAAGGGGAAAATTGTATCAACCAGATGTTTATAGGTAATACTCATTTTGAGCCGAATCAGAAAATAAAAATAGGTTGTTTTAGAAGGGCAGATGAATCGCTAATTTTATGAATGGCTTTAGTCCAGGAAACATGTTGTTGAGATTAGAAAGGCAGATGAGCTCTGCTAGCTAGCAACAATAACGCAAATCAGCGCTTTGGGCCCAGCTCAGGACCAAACGCCAATTGCATGTCTTCGGCCTGTGTGGTTTTTATCATTGTAATTTTTGAATCAGTGTATTATAATTGTAATTTTTGAATCAGTATATTAATTTATGTCAGCAGGCTCTTTTAAAGTTTGTAGTGATCAATAATTACCCCCGAACCGTAAGTTTCATGCTCTGGCATATGCTTGATTTTTGCTTGAAAGGAATTGCGTGCGTCCTGGAAAATCGAAGTAGCATAAAATTGGGTTGACAATTCAGCGGACCTTTGACCCCCTTCATTGAACATGCAGTGTGTCAACCTGTCTCCCCGGAGGGGAGGAGGCTCCAGGAGGCTGTCTGTTCCTACAAGCAGCAGCTGCGCACAGAGTAAATGCAGCCCGGTTTGATAGCAGCTGTCAGTATTGTTCAGGGACCGACTTAGAGGAAAGAACAATGGGAGAGGCCACGCTCTTCGTCTGCATCGACTTTCAGGCTAAGAAAAGAAATAGTAATTTAACGGTTTAGACATCTATTACAAGTGTGAAAGATCATGAAAGAGTACCCTTTAAAATGCAAATGAGCCGAAACATTCTCATTCCCTTTAAGGTACAATCAAGGAGCTCACTGCTTGCTTGACAGGGCTAACGATATTTCTCTTTAGCAAACCAGGAGAACGTTAAATATTCTCAAGGACACCACACTTCTAGGCAAACTCAGCTTGTGTCCCAGGACTATGGATGCTCTTTTAGGAGAGGGAGGATATATTTTTTTCCATTCTTGTTGAGTGAACTAATGGTACCCATTTCTCACCAGCATAGAAAACGTGTTTCTGCTATCTGATAGAAAAATTGAATTTTAAAATCTTTTCCACCATGGCATCTACCTTCAACTTTAAATTACTGACATGTAAGATTCTTGGATAGTTTAAATTTGGAGAAGTTATTGAAATGGTTTTGTTAAACATCTTTAATAGTTTTCACTGATAGCAAAATTGATAATTGGCAGAATAGTAATTGCTGATTTACTTTTTGAATTTTGCTTTTCATAAGCTCTTTTGCTATTAAACATGTTACATTCTTACAACAATAGGAAGATTATTTAATAATATAGAGCTCTTAAAAGGCACAGGGTTTGTTTTGACACACAGCTCACTTGTGCTTTAGAAACAAGTTCATTGTGCAAAAGGAACTTAACGCATTTGAGACCTTGATTTTATTTTTTATTTTTTACATCAGGATTGTCTCTACAATTTCAGCAGGATCCCTCAAAGATTTTCTTTAAAACTTTGGAATTGTGTTAAAAATGCATTAAAAAAACACACCAGATTTGTAAAATGCTGAAGCACTTATTTGTGGGATAGTTAATGGCTACCTGAAGGCAGAGCAAAACCAAGGATTCTTCAAGATCATTCCCCACTGTATTGGGGAGTTTGGAACAAAGAGCTCTCTTCTACCTGCTCTGACACTAAAATAATTAATTTTAGTTTTATTTGGGATTCCAAATAACTAGAGTTACTTTTAAGCTAGGTTATATGACATAAATCAATATCATATAGATTTTGGTACGTACATATCTGCACATATAATTCTTTTTAACTGAGGTGTAACTTACATGCAGTAAAATGCAGAGATCTTGCATGTATACTTTGATCCCTTGGGGGCACACACACACAGCTCTGTAATCACTCTTCTCAGGGTGCAGCTGTTTTCATCCCCTCTGGAGGTTCCTTGTCCTTCTCGGCAGTTCCACTCACCCTTTCAAAGAAGATTGGGTTTTGACTAGAAAGTAAGCAGTAGTGAAGTGAAGTGTAGTTTTCTTTTTTTAAAGACATTGAGTAGGACACTTGTGCTTCCACTTTTTAGCTTTGTGACCTCATACGATCCATTCGCCTCGATCAATGCCCCAACTGTAGATAGTGCCATCTTGCTTGCATGGCTTTTGTGTGGGGATAAGACCCTGGCTGGCACTCCTCACCCAGTATTGGTCCTGGCTCCTTGAACTGCACTTTTGTCTGCCTGGTTTCTCTAAGTGTCTGGAGCAGATCTGTGGTCCAGTTGGCCAAGCCCCCTGTGAGGGATGGCTGTTCTCCTTCGTCTTTTCTAGTGGTTACCTGGATGTTGATGTCTTGAGCTTAGACCCAGCCAGATGCTCTGCTCATCACACACACACACACACACACACACACACACACACACAGTCATGCATGCATGACTTTTAATGAAGACACAACAGTGCAAAAGTGCTGCCATTTAACTTATATATATGTTGATTTCAGAGGAATCGAGTAGGAGAGATAGAAACATCAATGAGAAGAAAGAATCATTGATTGGCTGCTTTCTGCACACCTCCTACTAGGGAACCAGTCCACAATCTGGGCATCTGCCCTGTCTGGGAATTGAACCCTGACCTCCTGGTTCATAGGCCTATGCTCAACCATTGAGCCACACTGGCTGAGTTGCCATTTTAACTTTTGATGAACAAACTTAAAGTTCAAAACCACGGGGTTAAAGTTAAGTTTCGGGAACAGATATAAAGAGAATTGAGAAGCAAATATGTGAGTAAGGGAACTGTTGGCACTGGGAGGTGCCAAGGATCGCTGTGAAAGAGTGGAAGGTGAGATGTCCAGGTGACCCGGGAGGGTTTTCCTTCCCATACCACTATTTGCCAGATTTCTGATAACTGCTTCTGTGCTAACTGTAGATATAAGACAATTTGAGCAGTTTCTCATAGCAATTGCCCGTGACCTTCAGGAACTCAAGAAATTTGGGGTTAATGTAGGCAACTTTGTTTTTCCTTTCTCATCCATTTGGACACAGTCTGACTTATTTTCCATGAATATAACTTCTGTCAAAGCCTATGGGAGCCTCAGGTTTGGGGCTCCATTTATTGGTTAGATTTGTATATTCCTCCTTCATAGGCAAATGTGTAATGCTCTTCACTTTAAAACAACTTAGTATGAAATAAGTGTAGGGTATTTCGTGATGCCGGCTGGGTTTGTTTGTGTAGGGGATGCTATGAGTACTATCTCCTGATGTG